AGGAATGACACGTTTGGCCTAATCATTAAGGTTATGATGAAATACATAAAACAAATTAGCAGTAGCCCTACAGCATCATTTTATAGAAAGGATAAAATAATTTCTTTAACAAATTATCCCACTACGAATGTTGTATTTTTAACTATATGATTAATAGTAGAGTCTAAAAGCAGTACAATCTCACAAAGTTAATATAAAATCTAATAATTAAGGATTAACTTAAATATTTATTAATGTTGCATTCTTTACTCCATATTGCTGGGAGCAACTGAAGATTTCTTTGCTAGCGTTTAATGTAATTGCATGATTATGCTCTACATGTAAAGGAGTCATATTTAGAAGAACTAGGTTTACTATATAGTATATTTTCTAAAACCTTTTTAAGTAAGATTACTGCTGTACCTCTGATATTAAAATATAATGGTCATCTTGAAGATTTTGGAAGGCAGAAAACCAAGCAGGAGTGAAGAAGAGCCCTCAGGGGGTGAAAACAGCCATGTCAAGCATCTGAATTTCATTAGGTGAGGTTTGCACTGTGAGAAGTGAACAAGGATTGAGTACTGGCTTCTTAAAAGGGCAACACAAAATCAATTTGTAAATTTCATGGTATGCATAAAACATAATTGAGGAGTCGTGAAGTCCAAAACATCACAGACTAACTAGCAGCTAGTTCTTGCTTGCTCTGAAAAAGCACCATTAAACAGTGTTCTTGGTAAGATGTATAGTACTGTATACTGTATATAAAGCAGGATTGCAGTGCTCACGACAAAGTATTTTTACAATAATGATCTATATTAAAGCTTTTCTGTTTTGCAACAAATCTTTCCTGAAGGTCTTCAAATCTTTGTTTCCATGGATGCCGCTGTGCATGAAGTCTTAAAACAGACTAAGTTTTTCTGCAAACGCTAAAACCACATCCAAACCCATCACGTTTAAAAAGATTGCATCCACTTGTCTTAGAGCTTTTACATACGCCAAAAATGTGAATCAAAATTTTCCAAACTGCAATACAGTATGTTTTGCAATCAACATATTTTCAAAAAACCTGACAGAACCCCATAACATCAATGCAAGAATTAATAATGAATATTCCCAGTATCTGAGTATCTGTCCCCTTTTTCCATATTTATTATGTGCTGAATTTTCACTTTTAAAACATTTTTTATGTCAGTATGTTACTGAAATGGTTTGCTTTATTTAGTCTTTCAAAATGTTGTGTGGAAAGAGTGTGGATTTTGGCTGTGGAGCCTTCTTCAGGTGTGGCTTCTTCACCTGAAGAGCTTCTTCATACCCGAAGAAGGCTCCACAGCCAAAACATTGTGTTTTCTTTCTTCTCTTTTCAGCATGGAATAAACCTATTACTTGTTCATCTGGAACTATATAACATCTTTGCTTAAGTTTTGTCAACTTTTTTGAGGGCTGCGGTTTACCTATTTTAGTTACTACATTTTCTGTGTACAATCATTAATTTAAAGCAATGACTTTATGTATTACGTATAACTTCAAACTCTTTCGGCTTCGCAAACAGTATTTGGAGTGAAAAGTCTTCTGGGGAGAAAATTATTTGCAGCCTTTTTACACTTATGGTCAGAGAGAATGTAAGCTCAAACTTCAGAGAATGTTTGTTCACTGGCTGGAGATTTGTGTCAGATTACATTGCTATGTGGTGGGAAAACTGTAGCTTTTGCCATACTGTTCCAGAAAAGGAAATGCCTTGTTTCACCCCAATATATTTTCTTTCTCAAGAGGAAAAATATCCTTTCTGCCTCAGTTCTAAAATGTAAGTTCCCAGATCAAAGTTGTACAGTAACATGAAGTCAGAATATTGAAGCCAATGTGGAATGTCATTTGTTATTTATGACTTGAGGGGTTCACAATCAGCTGTCTCTCTGTTATGTTTTATTTATTCTGCAACTGATTATGTAAAGTTCTGCAAATCTTATTTGAAAATAATTGAATTTTATTCTGTAATTATTCTAAAATGTAATGCAATTACATCTCTCTCACACTGGAGTAAATTTGATTGGTCCTGCTCCAGGGACACTGGGGCTCTGTCACAACAACGCTGAAGGAGGGAGAACATCAAATCACACAGTTAATTACCTCGGTCAGGAAATTGTATAATTATTGCTATCACCACAGTCACAGACAGGCCTGGTGGTACAGGCTAAGAACTCCAGGAATATCGAAGAGGAGTAATGGAAAAGGGTGAGGCCTACTGTTAGTCCTTTAATATAACGGGACTGCATCTGAATACTAAATACCCAGCTTCATTTACTCTCTCTTCATGACTGTCTCCTTATGCTTTAGATTCCCTAAAAGACATTAAACAACAAACCTGTTCTAAAGGTTCTTCCTAAACCTGTTGTAAGCATTCAGACATGTTTCAGAGTTTAACAATTTAGACACATGGGTAATTTAAAACAATTTTGTTTTAAGATTCCATTATGTCTCAAGTACAGCTATTTTACAACACAACATTACTTAATTCAATATAAATTGGATTCCAATATTCAGTACTTAAATGGGCCTGATCATAGAATATTTAAATTTTATGATTAGATGAACTTGCATATCTACAATATATTATGTGCAGGATCTTCTCTTCTGAATAGCTATATGTATGCTATCAAAGAATATATACCATACATAATGCTGATATTTTCAGTTTCCACCATTATGTGTACAATTCAGCACCTTTCCAAGGGTAAAATAATGACTTCCTGTAATGATGAGATCCTAGCTGTAGGTCCTGTGCCTCATTTTGAAATTATTTGTATGCTATGCTCAATACTGAAGTTATGATCCCCTAAAGCCACTTTCTGGATTCTGCATTCCAGTAAACTTAATCCCTAACGACCTCACTTTTCTTGATGTAGTTTACAGCAAATTGACATTACTGGAACAAAATGTTTCAAAACATTAACTTGGCCACTGTGGACTACAGTGAGAGACAAATGACCATCTTCCCTATGATCTGACAGAGATAATTGTTTTTCTTATATAAACAATTAGAAAGTGTCCATTCCTGAATTATTGCACAAAATTGGTATTTGCAACACCTAATAAACTGCATGGCTATATACTGTATATCTTTAAGAATACATACACAAATGAATACTTTAGTCATTTGTCTCCCTCAAGAAATTTCTGAAAGTATTACAGTACAATTTGGTTGTAGTGGTATTTTAGGCTGTAATGTGTAACTTTCAAGCTATGCTCCTTGCTTTTTTTGAGAAAAAAAAAATATTTTAAAAAGGCGAATGACAGTTTTCACAACATCAGAATAACACTGGCCGCTTAATAAGATTCAGAATGAAAGGTTGTTTGGTGGGAAATGTTTTCATTTCCCATTGAAACAATGTTGGCCTCCAAGTAATAAGCTAATCTAATTTATGGGTGTGTTTAATTATTATCTGACAATATTAAAACCCCACCAGTACGCTAGAGAAAACAAGCTTTGAATCATAAGTTTCTTCATGTGAACTAATACAAACCATAGATTATGATTCATGTTTTAGTAAATTAAAATGCCAGCAATTTTAGCAGCTTGTGAAACTTTTTATGCAACAGATCACATAGTGAATGAATGTCTATGTTAATACCAAGTTAAACTTTTTAAATACTGCAATTAGTGGAGCTGCCAGTCTTTCATCAAACTTTGAGAATAACTGCTTTTCTGTGACTCTGTTCACTGCCCATCTGTTTGAAGAATCCCATATTGAATGTTCTCCTAATAAAGACTGAAAAGTCTAAGTAGAGAGATTAAATGAAGCAATTGTTTCACTAACAACTAATGCACCACAAGTGCCACCTGTTGGCTATTTTGGCCAAGGATTCACATATTGCAGTAGCCCGTAGATCAATTCCCACTGTACTGGGTTTTACCTTGCATTTTGAATGGCTACATCTGTAGTATGCATTCAATCAGGACAGTCAGAACTAGGCAAACACAATGTGGTTAAGAATTAAAAGTTTTGATTTTATCATGTGTCTGGGAAATAGCATAGAGTTCATGAGATTCAAAAGCAAACTTCATTGAGTTAATCAATAATTTTCTTAAAATATCTTTAGGGGCTTTCATATATGATTAAGCTGTCACAACAAATGTTGTTTTTGACATAAACCACTACTTGTGCTTTCTAGAGCCTGAATCGATGCACACTGGCAATTGAATTTCCTTCTTTTGGCCAGAATATATCTCTCAAATGTAGTTTTAGCAAAGCCTTTGATGTGAGTTGGGGAAAAAGATGTAATGTAGAAAGATTTATCTGACAGATGGTTATCAGTCAGTTGCAGCCTCGATGGTGTTATCTGACTCAGTGGAGGATTAAAATGTAAATTCTGTGTAGATATCCCCATCTAGTGGTCTATATTGTGCATTGATTTTATGACCTCCATCTAGTGGCCTACTAAATGAAATACAGCAGTGGTTAAAAGGTACTGTATGCATTACCCACAGCTGGGTGCTTTTCTCTGCGGAAGGGCCTTTGTGTGTACATATTATGTAGATGTGCTGAAAGCAGTAGCACCTAACTAAAGAGCTAATTATTTAAGAATAATTTAGATTTAAATATTATTTGCTTAACAAATTATGTATTTCCTATAGAATTTTCTAAATCATTATTAATCACTACATAAAGTATAGAGTAATACATGAAGTGAACAAAATAAACTTATTTATATACAACAGAAGAAACAGGGGAAAAATGAATAACAAAATAGTCATGTCAAGGAATAATTGATTTAGAACATGGTAAACTGGCCCAATTAAGCCAATGACAAGCTAATTTATTTCATAGTCACTGATAGCTGGCACTCCAGGACTGGAATTGGACCTAGACCCACAACAATAGAAAAGTGATGCCAAACATCTGGCCAGAGTTTTGAATCCCTAATCTGAAAGAATATGTTGAAGTACAGATCCTGATGATTAAAAACAAGGTGATGATGAGGTTAAACAGGAGGTGAAAGATGATTAAAAAAAGTCACCCACACAATTTTGTCACATTTACTTTTATTGTAAAGGTGATTTATTCCAAAATAGTAATATGTTAGAGAGACAGCTACAAAACATCTACACAAGACTTTGGTAAGAATTCCTTGTGACATTCTTATCAAAATTCCACAGCAAAAGTAACAAAACGTCTAATGATGCACAAATCAAATAAAAAATGCTAATAATTCTCACCTTATCAAGTTTAAATTGTGGAGCTTCTACATGTCATACATTTGAATAAAAACTCACAACAGATTTTTCTAAAAACAGCATCTTGAGGCTTATAAAATGCTGGAATGGTTACCTGTGCTTTTATTTCAGGAATATAATATGCTATTTAAGAAGTTACCACAGGATATAACAGTTCTATTTCTTTATAACTGATTGGTATTTTATGAATAGTATACCACAACAAGTTTACAGTAATCTTGCAAGAAATTCTAAATGCAACAGAGCTATTCAAACTCAAGGTGGAAAATCAATCTGTTTTAATCAGATGGGTTCATTGATAATCAGTTTGATATTGTTTTTAGGTGACCCATCCTAATAACACTCAACAAGGCTGCAGGATTTGGACTGGCACATGACTCTTGATCTTGAATTAAAGAATACTAGGCTAGAGATAACATGATAAAGCTACAGATCATGTTTGATGCGTTTGACAAGTAAGAGTGCCGAATCCTAGTGAATGAAAAAGGTTGCCACAGCAAATAACATTTAGAAATCTGTTAAATTCATGTCTTTCTCTTTGAGTTATTCATACTGTAGACTCACATTAGCTTAACTCATTGTATGCATTGCAAATGAACATGACTATGGTTCACTATCTAAAGCTATGTGAAACTGTGGCTGGCAGTGATAGTGTAACAGTGTGGCTTAAATCTAAATAAGTCTTAAAAAATGTTTATAAAATGCAATTAACGTGTTGTTCCGATAATATAATGGCTACATTCCCAGAACGTCAGCTATAAACTGTACAGTATATAACTGATTCGCAACTGTCTAATAACTCATTCGTTAATAGCTATTAATCCGAGAAGAGTGACCATTTACTTCAGAATACAAAACTGAAACTCAGAAACAGCATTTTGCTCCCACAGATTAACCTGGATTAAAACGAGACTGATTTTTCTCCTCAACGGCTCTTAAAGAGTGCATCTTTTCAGCAAAATTGAGACACATCCACATTTTTAGCAAGGATGCACATTGCATGCTCGGAGCTCCTTCTTGTCTTTGCAGCTTGTAAACTGAGAATTCTTGAACTTTTTCTTCACTGTCATGAAGCGCTCTTGAATGCCACCTCCGCACATCTTGGTGCAGTCCGTCCACGCTGACCAAGGCCTCATTTTACACCCTTTAAGGCAAAGACGAAGACGAAAAAACACATCAAAGATCACAAGAAACATCACTCTATTAATGTGTATATTGTATACAGTAGATTTAGCAAAATAAATTATGTGGATTTGGGTGATAATGAAATATTTTTTGTGTCACTTTGAGTAATTGACTGACAATTGTATATTGCACCTCATGAGTGACCGACTGGGTTGGACACATGCAGTAATAAGGTGATGTACTGTAACCTACTGAATGTCCTGTCTTGTGAAGTTTGAGAAACAAAGAGAAAGGAACCACTTAGCATCGCTTATCAAGAGGACAGTGCCTTTTATGCTACAGGTTTGTTGAAGGCCACTAAATAACTTCAGGATGATTTGCCAGCATTGGAGCCAAGTCCTCTTCAGGCACGTTTTTTGTACACCACCCTGATTGAGTGTGTCAGAAAGTGTGGCACACTAGTACTGTATACAGTATGTGTACCACAGAGCGGTTAAAAGGAAGGTCCAAATGTGATGGTCTGGGTAGGATTCTCCAGTTACTTACAGAGCTCCTCTTTTATGGGTGCATGGTAATCTGACTGCATAACTTCCTGCTCATCCTGATAATGTTAAAATTCCAGCAGGACAGCACCACTCCTCATGCTGCTCATGAGAACAACAGTATGGGAATGTGACCGTTACACTGTGGAAGCCCTATGTGTCAGACTTGAGCTGAGATAGGATGATGTGTAGTAATTAGGGTTTAGAGACCAGTGAACAGACACATGCTTATCCAGACTCTACAAGAGGAATGGGACAGAATTCCACAAGCTGCAACATGATGTAAAGCTCTCATTGCAGACATACAGCTTGTTTTGTTTCCAGGCACTGGCCACACACACTACTAGCCTGTGATCGGTGCTGCAAACCCATTATTGATCAACTCTGTTGATGACAAAGGTTAATCTGCATAATGTATTGATCTATGTTATGTGTGTTCAATGGAATATCAGTGAGATCGTAGTTTTGTCATTTTCCTGAAAGATCTGTGAATTTGTTAGTTTTACATTATCTTTGAATGCTCGTTATACCATCCAATAATACAGTAGTATTTACCAAGGAATAGCATTATTCAGTTATTAACACAAACATATTATTGATATTTTTAATATATTAATTTAATATATTCAAAGAGACTAGAAGTCCACAAAGAGGAGTTCTGGGCCCCAAGAGGATCTACAAATCATCCGCTTCCAGACAGATACTGTAGTACAGTCTGGTTTGTTGTTAACCGAGTATACATGATGCTGATACTGGAAGAAAGACAACCCACATACAGTACCTCTGTAAGAAAGAGTTGAGGAGGCTTTGATTCAGACCTTTGTTGAAAAGCTCAGATAAGCTGTTTCAGTCTGGTCTTTGTAAATAAATCATTGAAAATATGTAACCCTTCAGAGTAAACCCTTTTTATTTCAAATTATTTTGCTTACGAATTCCAGAACTGCCAACACCCTACACCCCTCACAATAACATGAAAATGAACTGTAAAACTATACATTCTGGGTAAATATAAGATACAGTATGATCACTTTATTGGCCATATACAATTACTTGTATTAGGAATTTGTCTTTTTGCATTTGGCTCCATAGCATCCTAAGATATAGTCAGGCCTCAATTAGGCATCTGACAAGTTTTTCCAAGAGTTATACTTCTCTTTACTTTCAAACTACCATAAAAATGGTTAATAACAAAAGCACAATGAACAGTTCAACTTTCTTTCTTTTTAACTAATAACCACTTTGACATATAAAAAAACAGACTGAAAAGACAATCTTGAGAATAAATTAAACAGACAAAGGTCTAAAATGATATTTTTGTGGCTATGAGAATGTTTTGTGCATGTTATCCAATCACAAATTATCAGACTTAAAAGGGTTTGGTTTGACTGTACAATGGGATATCCAGAATATAGTGCTTGTCTTTTTGAGTCTGAGTTTGACTCCTGCCAAGCTAATCCCACAAATTCCATAAAGGACTGAGTTGCAGGAAGTGCTCAGGCCTGATTCTTGGACCTTGTCCTAGGAAGTGGACTCATCCAGCTTCCAGCTAAAAGGATGTTATTGTTTGGGAACATGCAGCTGTGCATGGCAAGGAACTGTGTTATCTTTAGTTTTACATTTACTATTTACATGCATCTGGAGACTTTTAAAGACTCCTCATTAGTATGATACAAAGCTGCAACCCAGTAGGTTTAAGGAAACAATACAATGGCATGCCCCTTTCCTTTCATTTACTAAAATACAGCTCTCTAGTTCACAAAAATGAGCTTTGTAAATGTAAATGGATAATTGCAGACCACTGATAGTGGTTATCATGATACTCCTCTATACAAATCTGACATGATGAGTGCGTTAATCCTGTTTAATAATTAAAGCAAGATCCACAATCTCATGTGTCCCAGATGCTGTTTGAGAATATTTGATGCTACGCTTGGAAATGGAACATAAATTATTGTGCAAATGATCAAAGCCCTAACTACCAGTAAGGTGTTTATTATTCTACAGTATTTTTCTTAAAACTCATTAAAGATCTTGTCACTGGTTTTATTTACTTAGTAGCATGGCTCTGTCTGACTAAGATTATATTTTTTGCTTTACAGATGAGAAGACAGTTATGCTCTTCTGTGGTCTTCATTAAGACACTGCATTAATGAGGAACACTTGAGTTAGTCCAAGGGGAGAGATAACATTTTTAATAGGCATTATATTTTAGCTCTTGTAGTACCTCTATAAAAGCTTAATTATTAATACTATGGTATACTTATAAAAAAGCTATGTGACATTTTACAAGGACAGCTTAAAGCTATAATTTCGGTGACCAACAAGGTGAAGTTTACTATTGTGAATGGCACTGGATTGTTTGAAGGGTTATAAGCAATATTTCTCTACAGATCTGAGCAAAGCATGATTGTCTGTTTTTTTAAAAAAAACTTCATAGAACACTATCTTTTTCCTTTTCAAGATAAAAAAATGAGCAACTTGTACACATGAATTTGTTTTAACATGTTCAACAAACCCAGGATTTTGAGGTATCATAAGAATCAGTTGATGAAGAGCTCATGTCCAAGCATGAGTTTTTTCCTCCCACCTGGTGTCCGCATTCATGTGTAAAATCTGCTTGTATAGGTGTCCAATCTTGAGAAAACCATGTTCAGTTTTAACAACAGAAAGAAAATGAGCGTTTCTGCGGCGATAACCGCACATATTTTAAGTTGTTCTGCCCTTTCTCTACCCCCCTGTCATATTCTGGTATTTTATTGTCGTGCCTGATGTCAAATTACATGCTAACGGTCCAATAGAGGATTATTGGTGTTTTGCACCTGTGGATCATCGCTTGCCGCTGTGCCGGCAGTGTGTAACAGTGTGGCGCCTGGGGGTGCCGACCCTGACCGCACTCGTGCAGACCTGGGTGCAGCTCTTCGGTGTTCTCGTCCCGGCTGCTCTGTTTACTCCTGCGCTTCTCCCGCGCCTCTTTGCGGCGCCTCCTCTCGTCGCTGGAACCCCGGTTGCACTTGCGGACCTTGCACTTCTTCCGCTGCACCGTCTCCGGGCAGGGGTCCCCCCCGAACTGCGGCTCCAGCTTGATCATCCTGGTCCTGATCATGTGACCCTTGCCGCAAGACTTGTTGCACTCCGACCACTCGGACCAGTCTGTCACCATGCAGTCGGTTGCTGAAAGGCACAGAAATTCACATGTTAAAATCCACGCGCTCTAAGCTTAATGATAGCACAAAAAGCAAGGACCGCCCCAAAAACGGTGATTGAATGTCCTGGCCACACTTCTTCCATCTTCCTCAGCTGCCTAAAGTTTTTTTTTATACAGTCTATTTCTTTCTGGCATTTCCTGGGAACCTGAGCGTTAAGTCGTGAGAAATGACTTCAGGGATGTAATGCAAACCTTTTAATTTTATTTATTCCTGCTCGTGCCACTTAAATTTAACGACAGGGTTAAGAGTTCTTTCGTGTTGTGATGGGACAGAATGTAATATCATTTTCCCGAGTGAACTGCTGGCATTATAAGGAAAATAAACCTGCATGTTTTCCATGTAAAATATAGTAATATACTGTACCTCCTATTACACTTTTCTCAGTGCTGTTCAATGGCAGTCAATTTATGTACAGTAAAAACCATGGTATTTAATGCTATGCATCTTTCCTGGAATGAACTAAACTCCGCAGTTTAAAATACATGTGCACGATAATCACTAGAGACAAACTGGAGCAGTTACGTTCCTCTCCCATACCGGTCCGGTACATCGCTGAGTTACAGTGTGTGGTTCATTGTCCCCGTTACAGTACTCACGACATTCAGGAAGCATGCACTTCTCGACTTGTTCCAGCTCTTCATTGCATTCTCCCAGCTCCACGGGGGACTTCAGCATCCTCTGCCGGGTCCTCATCCCCTTCCCACATGTCACGCTACAGTCGCTCCAGTCTGACCATGGCGACAGCATGCAGGGAATTGTGTCTGTTGAAGAAGGGCCACAATAGGGCCAATGGCCCTTACTTACGATTCAATGAACGAAATCACGTTAAAACGATGTGCTTTAAACCTTGCCTTTTAACTTTCAAAGAACAGAAACAATACAGTATGTCCTGCCAAGGAGATCAGCCTCTCAATAATAATATGCTGGAAGAATAAAATGCTGCAAATGTACTGTACAGAGTATCCTTTTCGGTGGTTGGATTAAGAAGCAAACCAACAGAGATCTGAGTATTTCCCTTGGTTGTGTGTAATACATCATTGTGCGGTATCAATGGGTAAACGTCGAAGCTGCATAGCTAAATCTGTCAACTTGCATCCAATTTTGTTTACCCTTAAGAGCCCCTCAGTATGTGGTCATGATTAAATAGTGACGTGTTCAGCTGCACGATGTCATAAAAAAAAAAAAAACTATTTTTATGGTACACAAATACTAGTATGTGTGTCTCCAACGGCCTATTTTTTAATATTTGACATTGAATTTGAGTTTTCATTTTATTACAGCACAGCAATGTAGAAATATGAATCTCTGTGAGCCTGTAAGGTAGTAAAATGACAAAAAGGGTACTCACGGCATTCAGGCATCATGCATTTCTCCACCTCTGTTAATTCTGAGTTGCACATTGACCCATCAGAAGGAGGCATCTTGACCATTCGCTCTCGCTTTTTCATACCCATCCCACAGGTGGCGCTACATTCATCCCATTCTCCCCACTCTGTCACCAGGCAGCTGTTTGATGCTAATAGGACCAAATAAATCATAATTTAATTAATATTGTTAAAATATTATATTACATGTTGTACAGTATACTCTATTTCTAATCCAGCTAAAGAGAAATTTTATACCTCACAGATTTCTGCTCACTGCTTTAAATCCAACTCCAGCCAGTAACAGGCATGGTGCATGCCTTCACCCATAAATCAAGAACTAAATTGATGATAACAGATAAAAGCACATGGTCTCCTTAATTGATATAGCTTAAAACAAAATGACAACAAATGTAAATTAAAGAAAATTCACTGGAAAACAGGGAATGCTTTGGTTAGTCATAGGAGAGATACAGTATATTGTTGTTAACTAATACTTTATGCAGAACATAAAATACTAGAATTAACAATAAAGCAGACTATACATTTGTTTTAAAGGGGTACTGCTTAATTAAAAGTAAGCCAAATAAAACCTGTTAAAACACTTAACTAGTCACAGGTGGTCTATACTTGGGAATATAAGGACTAATGCATTTCTGAACTTTCTGAACAGCAATACTTTCTCTGTTATTTTTCGCAATTAATCAAAGATATCGGTCTCACTCAATCTTTATTGCCAGCTGTTTGTAACTGATTAAGAGGTAACACCAGGTCCACTTCAGTATGGAGCCTAAAAAAAACTAAAAAAGGTAGAATTACACCTAATTTAGGTTTTGTAATGGAGTTCAAATCATATGCTTGTACATGTAATTTAAATTTAAAATAGGAGAGAAATGTTATTATATCAAAAATGTAGGTGCATTTACAGCTGAAGAATATGGAGGGGATTGAATAGTATTGTGCAAACTGGAAGAATTTCAATTGTGCAAATAGTTTCCAAATTATTCTAAAGATGATTCTACAGGTAGCCTCTGAAGCTTTCTAGAGGATGCCTCTTGAAAATTAGACTTCCTGTCCAATAAAAAAAATCAAAGTAAATAAACTCACAGCAGTCCTCATTGACAACACATTTTTCAGTCTCTTCCGTTGGCAAGGTACATATGGAGCCGTCTTCGGGGAACTGTTTGACATATCTCTCCCTAGACCTCATGCCCATTCCACAGGAAACACTGCAGGGAGACCATGTGATCCACTCTGACATCATACAGGTAGATGCATCTAGATGGAAACAATCCTACTAGTTTAGTTTATGAACAGTTACTGTAACTATATTGTTACTGTCGGCATGACACATAGCTTGGGATCAATTAGTAGTAATATTTACGACAATTGTACAGGATATAATATGGGTTCTTGGGGTTTGCCACGTATGATTAATTACAAAAACATTCCTAAACAATTTTATTGCGACGGGCAGACATTACCTCATTTGACAATAGAATACATCTTCTGCTTCAAATTAAATCTGATTTATTTATCATAAATCTCCTCAGGCCTCTATTTTGATTAAAAAAACTTTGGTGAACAATACTGAACCTGTTTCTTAGAGAAAGCGACAGTAAATCACATAGAAGTTGTTAAACTTTTTACCATAAATTTGATTTATTTTAAAAGACATGCAATCTCAAGCTCACTGTATTAATATTTATATATTTACTCCACTAAAATGAATCTGTTTCCATTAAAAAACAATTTGTACTGAAGTATCCTATGCTTTTAACTTTGCCATATTACATATTACAGTTGCATTCTTTGGTAAAAAATGTTTCAGATGGGATCATTAGGATAGGATCTTTAAAGCAGGATCTTTTTTTACTTCAGGGCTGAAAGATTGAAAACAAAAGTGAGTGTTAGTTAATAAAGCAGAACTAAGTGAATCATTAATAAAACCTGTAAATAAAGTGGCCCTGATGAAGACCCCAGAGGCCCAGTGGAGGGGAGGGAGTGCATTATTAATCAGTTTGAATTCTTAACGGACTATTGAATAAGAACAAAAGCAATTCAGATCTGAAAAATGAACGCTTGAAATAGCAGGTTTATTAATCAATAATGTATGGTTGAGGAAAACAAAAGCCTTGAACGAATCCAAACACATATCACCTCTGACAAAAACGATGGTCTCTCAATAAGTGAAATGTATCTCTTGGGATTTTCAATAATGTACCCTGGACTGAATGTTAAAAGAGAATCCAAACTGTCAAGTTTGAGGAAAAACAAGTAAAAAGGTCTGCTTCCGACACAGAAACTAGATGCAGAATGTAATGGGAGAAGCTGCCTTTAATCATGCTTGATTTTACTTCAGACTCGGGATTTGAAACACCAGTATGAAGATTATACTATTTATATTTAGATTTAAATTTAAATATTTGACCAATCTTGAAATGCGTCTAAATCCTTTTGAATTTTGTTTGCGTCTTTGATGGTGTTTTTTCAAACATACTCTATTTATGGATAATTCACGTAAAATATTCTAGTTTACTAGCTATATTATCTTATTAGACTACAGTTTAATAATGCATTTTATAAGCACTTAACTCAAAGCACACAAAAAGAGTTCATGATCAAAGGAAAGAAATTGAAAAAAAAGAAAATAACACATGCAGTCCGCCAATGTTGGTATCCATTAATACAACTGGGTAGACAGGAACACACATGGGTAGGGTACATTTCTCAAGGGTAGAGTAGCAGTGTCCACAGTAGGGATCACAACATTCTAGTTAAGTGACTAGGCTACTGCTCTGAAGGTTTCCCCATGAACACAGTCTTGCACAAAACCATCTCTGCTTTTATCAAAGCAGGACAATGTATTGATCTCAGCAGTGTTTTATTGTCTTCTATACAAAAGAGAGAAGGGTTTATTGATTCTCTTTCCCAAAGCATGACCAGGTCTGACCCTTTATTTCTTACCACTGTATTCCCTTTAATGACCTGGTATCACAACAATGAACATTTTCTTCATATTTTCATATAAAAAAAGATATAAGAGAATATGTCATTATGAAGTCTGCTATTTCTATCTATTGTTGACATCTGAGTTTGGACTCATTTTACGAATATTAAGAAACAAACATGAAATACAGTATAATGTGATGTTATACAGTTGCCAAGTTGATCAGAGTGGCGTCTCAACATCATACTGCAAATGTTTATGAATGAGGTTAACTTTGTCAAAAAGGGTCTGATTTGAAGTCATCAGAGAGTGCTTAGCAAGCACTGGTCCTCCAAGCATCTTTGAGCTGAAGATAAGGGAATTATGGACGAGCAGAAAACAGATCACATTCAATGTCATGTTGGAAAATAACCCAAAGGTCTTTGTTGTTTCTCACCTTCATCACTGCAGCCAGGGCCCATGCAAGGCTCAAAATCCTGGGTATGTGGGCAGGGCACACTGAGGTCTAGCTGGGCTTTGAGCATCCTCTGTCTCATCCTTTTTCCTTTCTCACAGGTAGAGGAACTGCAGGCGGACCAGGGGGACCAGTTGGAATAGATGCAGGTTTCAGGCGTGTCATCTACAAAGGAGGTAAGATTATATGATTTATTGTAGAAACATCACAACCAGACTTTTTCTGCAGACTAGCACCAGAAACATATTGTTATCAGTTCAGATATAATTTAAAATGTATACATTTTAAAATTCTTAACACCTAATACATGAAATCTGAAGTATTCACATTTAATGGACTGCTGTAATATAATAGGTCTCGAGTGTATAACCAGAAATACTCCCATTTTAAAATGATAGATAATCAGAGCTTTAAAATGAGATTCCTTTTTTTCTCTTACTTAATATTATGAGTTAACTCAATTGAGAACACATTCTCATTTGCAATGATAAGCACTTATGCAACAGGGTACCGACTGGGGCAATTTGATGCAAGTACATTGTTCAAGGATACAACGGCAGTGTCCCACATGGGCTTTAAACATCCAAACCCTATGCCACTGCTGCACAAATCTTGTTAGTCTTTAAACCTCATTAAAGCAAACCTCTGAAATTCCTTCCTGTTTCAGAATATGTTTATTTTTACAGACTGGTTTCTCAAGCCCAGTTTATTTCCCCGTCTTGCACTGACATTTCAAATGCTATAAAAATCCCCACCTTCTTCTTTTTCTTCTTGGGCAAGGTCTGCCACAATATCATCTACATTATCAGGTACAATGTTACACTGTTCTCCCTGTGGATAGAAAATGCAAAATGATTTATCATGGAAAGGTTTTGATAATCTAGTCAAGACCACATATGGATCACAAAAGAAAGATGTGAGTTTTTGTGTTTGTGTCGCAGTGTGCCTTGCAATGAACTGGTGTCCCATCCAAGTTGTATCTCGCCTTATGCCTGTTACTTGCTGAGTTAGGATCCTCCAGCGTCTCCAGCGACCTTCTACTGGATAAAGTTAAATGGATGGATAAAATGGTTACAATTTCAATAATTTTAAAAGAGATTCTATTCATATATGGCTAACCAATTATTAAGGAAAGTCCCGTGAAACATGTAATTTAATTCTCCTATCCCAACTCTCCACTCCATTGCAAACATTTCTTTATTACTATAAAGTAAATGTGGCATCATCAACATTAATGCTGCTTTGTACTAATAAATGCAGTGAAAAGAGCATGAGAATTACAGAGACATAGTACAGTACTATAGCTTGATAATGCCGAGTCACCTGTAAAGAGAGAGTATCTCAAAGGCATGGCAAGCAGGATGAAGTTTACCTTTCTTGCAATTCTCTCAATAACTACTCTGGCAACTGGAGTAATAGGGCCTCCCTCTGGATCGTAAAATGGACTCTGCGGGTGGTCAAGGCTGGTCAGTGGTCGGATTTTCTCTTGAGGAATTGTTGGTTTGTTGGGCGACTGAAATTATCAGTACAGAACAGAAAGCAAAAGTCAAACATAATCAGAGTAATTCCTTTATCGCTGGGTTCTATATCTGTGACGCCAGCTGGTAAGAGCTACTTCATTTGATCTCAATATGCATAATTTATTGACTGTGTAATAAGTTTTTATGAGTGATTTATATCATTATCTCCTGTTTTTGTATTGGTTCACCCTTAACCTTTCACAGATGTAGTTTAAAAAGCTAATATTTTAAAAAGCTGTGTTTATGCAATGACGCATAAGAAGCTATTTAAACTAATACGTACAGTATTGTCTTCTAAAAAACCCTGTACTGTACGTAGGAAAGGTAAAGTTAATCTATATTATCTTAGGGCCTCTGCTTAGTGGAAAAAAAAAACAGATTCTGTAGTAAAAAAAACATCTACATTTATTTAAGTATATTATACTAAATACAGCATACTGTATTTGTTTTAAGCCATTTTCATTTTAAGCCAATACAAAGTGTACAAAGTTCTGAAGGCTGGCCATTTGAAATGTAAAGATAAAGTAGAGCATTCCTGTTCAAAAGAATCAACAGAAAAAGACCATTCACAGGGGATGATGTCTTATTTTCAAAAATATCTACAGTAGTATATATTTAAAATAAAAATAGGTGTGAGCACATTCAGGGACCTTCAGGGAATCAGCCCAGCTCAGCTCTACGTTTTGACAAATGGAAGTTTGGAGGATGTGATTAATGATGATAAAAAACTGTTTAAACAGACTTGGTGTTTGGAATGTCCCTCTCCCATTAATTTCAGCTGGGAAGTAGCTGTGCTAATGCCTCTCGGTGCTGTGTAGTGGAATCATTCATCTACACTGAAAAAACATCCTAAAGGCAGAATGTCTGGATGTGTGGAAGCTCAGCATGTTTCAAGCTTATACAATAGTACCCCTTGGTGTTCTTATTACTCAGCCTTACCAAAACAGCAGCTGCATTTGGTTACCACATGAAGTGGCTATTGGCATTCTAGAGCTGTTCAATTCTGAATTATTCTTGTATCACAGTGTGCTCAAATACAAGCATAATGAGAATGTTGCCAGAAACGTGAGGAAGTCATGCCATGGGAGAAAGGTATTATTTTTCTTGCAATTTTTCATGGGAATTTACATTTTTTATATATATACCGTACTCATGTACAGTACATGTACCCATGTGCCTTGCATTTTTGTAAATAATCCACGCTTTGAGAGAAATTTGTGTTTAACATGAATGCCCAACAGATTTTTAGTCTTTTTCATGCATCTAACCTGTGCTACTCTTTAAAACAAATCAGGCCAGTTTATGGAATACCCAAGTAATAACATCAAAACCAAAGATAATGATGTATTTTGCAGACATGCTTCTCAATATATTTTTTTCATTTCAAAGAAAAACAGAAGATAATCCAATGCAAGAGCATTTTACCATATATGAGATGTAAAAATAAATATATATTGACTTGGTGTATTTTCCCTTAATTAAATTATAATCAGTCCTGTTATAGTAGCACCAAAATAGATGCTGGGGGGACTTAATAAATTGAAAAACATAGTGCAACTCATTGTTACCAAAACATATTGTTGCTTCCTTTCTGTTCACTGTTTACCTCATAAGTAACTCCGTCATCTGTGCCAGCATCCCAAGGAATCAGGTCCTGAATTACTTTCTGAACCCAGCCACACTCCTTTGTACAGAGGTCTTCAGCTGAGAGTCCTACATTCCAGTCCGGGCTGGGTCCCAGCATTGTGAGGAAGGACATCAGGTGTCGTGTTCTATCTACTGAGAACTCAGCAGAGGGCGCTGCTCTCCTGTAAATCAGTTTAGATGATTATGTGTTATATGTTATCTTTTCCCTTAAACCAGTTTCAGAAATCAAACTTGTTACAGATGCAATAGCACTCACATGGTTTTCAGAGATGGCAAAAAATGTCTCTCAAACCATTAAACATAGGGACATGTCCAGACATATTGTAGAGTTAGTGCTTAATTTGTAAATGACAAGGTGCCAGAGTTCAGTGTAAACAGGAGAGAATGGATATTCATGAGACAAAAGAGAATTTTACACCACCTTTTTGTATAACATACACACAAGATACCTTTAATAACATGATTTAAGGGTAATTTAATACCACAATCATACTTCTATTAGGCCTTCTCTATTTCCAAAACATTTCCACTGTTGTCAGGTGTAAGAATCTGACTGTATGATCTCCCACTAGTTTATAGTGTTTAGGTACTGTAGTTGAAGTGTTCTGCTGCAGTAGAAGAGAGAGTCTTTTAGAGTAGCTGAGTTCATTGATGCTTATGGAGAGACACTGTGAAATTCTTGTCTCTTTCATTATTTACACTAAACCATGATTTAAACATATTTTTTGTATAAAACAGCACTGGCAAGGGTAAACACAACCAAGGCATTTTTAATTCAAAGTAGTAGCCTCATCTAACTTTATCCCATATGAATCCTCTTCAATTACTAAAAATTAAACTGTAATTAGAGTTTCCATAGTGTGGACAATTTGAAATTGAAGTCTTAAAATGGTGAACTCTTTCACAAAGTAAGCACAGCAAACCACAAAATCATTAACAAAGAGTATGTATGTGGACTCCAAAATGATTTCTATTCATGTAACCATATTGCTTGAGTTACACAAATAAAACAACGTAGGGCAACAGTGCTTCAAGTTAAGATTAAATGAACCTTAAATAACTGCAAAATCAAGCATGGAAGAACACCAGAGAGCTTCATGGGAATGCAGAGTGCATTAGTCTCATTGTTTATCACAGTGTAGTAGGGAATGGCAAGAAAATATACTTCATCAAAGCACCAAATTCAATAGAGCAAATTAGACTGATTTACAGCTGAGTACACACTACTATTGTGCATTATTCAATCTGTTATAATTGGCTTCTGTACAGAATTTGAGTCAGATAAGCTTTTTTGCCATTTTGTCTGTTATTCTGCTTCAGGAACGGCTCATTAAATGTTTTCTTGGCCGTTTTTTTTCATCTTAGATACTGTGAAACTTGCAAATAATTGGTTAATTTTGTATGTGGTGGTTAAAATTTGCTTCCTCACAGAGCTGGTGGTTCAATGTTCAACCTTGTGTGATTCAATTCCCTGGGTTATATTTGTGTTGGTTTCATCCAGGAGCTCTAGTTTTCTCCCACAGCACAAAGATATACTGGAAGGTTAATTTGCCTCTCAGAATAATCTGGCCCTATATTTGTTCCATGCTGGCATAGCCTCTAGCTTCCCTGTGACCATGTACTGGATAAAATGCATGGATGGATGATTTTTGTGTGTGTATGTACAGTATACTGTACATACAGTATTTTAACAGACTATTTTCATTTTTACTCAAGCCTATAAAACCCCTCTCCTAAGGTTTCAGTTGCCACTTACTTAATACAAGGAATTAAAGTTCACAACATCTCTTTGAAAGCCAGGTCAGGCACAAAGAAGCACAGTGATTATATATCAAAGTTCAGCAAGTACACAGCAGAAACGGAAAAGGCTTAACAAGGTGCAGTGGTAACAGCAACATCTCGGCATCTTTATCATAATCTTTTCAAAGGCATACTAAATTTCTTCTGCTGTCTTACTCATTTGAAACATGAATAGTCATAGACTTTTTTTTTAACTTGTATTTCAGGCTCAGCAAACAAAACATTTTTAAGAGCATTAGAAGGAATTCTGTGCTATGACTTTCTAAAGTACTTGCTGGAAATACAGTACTATTTTTTTATGCACATAGCTTTAAAAGTGTCATCAATGTAATTATGTGACATACCGTGTTGTCGTTCCCAGGGCATTTTCCATATGATCACAAAGTGGTAACCATGTAAACGGTTTTCATGCTTTATAATACAGTACCGTGTTTCATTATTTTGTCCAGCTACTACTTTTTCACACCATAAATCAGCTTAAGAGAGATGCAGTTTATCTTGTAGGTGTCTATTCTGTTTGAAACCAGATCTTGTCAGACAAATATCTGGTTGTGCACATTTAGTGGTTATGTGGTTAGGGTAAAACACTTTACCTAGGAGCAGTATGTTTCAGAATACATTCACCCAGGTGACAAGCTATAAAATCAAGACTGTAATAAAACCCAAACACGCCACATTGTGATACCTCAAGATTAAATGTTTTTTAGTCTGGAAGATAAAAATTTCATTTAAAATTTGTCAGTTTCCTAAAGATTGAATTCGAAAATTAGTAGTTTTTAGAATAATCAACAGCTTCTTGCAATGGTTACAATGGTTGAAGAAAGGCATTAAAAGTACTGCATGCTCTTATTTTAGCACTCTTTTGCATAAATGGTAAAAATAACATTGGAGACACCATATCTGATAACCTGAAGAAGGTAAGACACAGCACTGAATGTAAATCCCCGAAGCATATTTACTGTAGATACCATTTAGTGTAGCCAGTCAGCTTGCCCTGTGTGTGCGCTTTTCAGTTCCCCATTATACACTTTTCTATTTTTTTTAACATATTATCCTTCAAATACTGTCATCACACCATCTGACACAATGATGTACTTTCTTTTTTGTGCAAACTATTGAACAGAAATGACCAAAACTATTATGCTTCTATTACCAGGAAAAAGCCACATCATTAAGCTTAAATGCAGCCTGTTTTTTATTGAATGAGCTTTACCTTGGCAACTTGCTTTGAAGACCCCAACCGTAGTAAAATTCTCTAAATGTATCACTTAAATGTATATAAATCCACATTCAAAAAACAGACCAGAGTATTAACATTTCCCAAAGTAATGTGCTAGATACATTAGCGCACAACATAAGATCCGATAATTGAATATTAGTGAAGTATGTACGTAAAACATATACAGTAATATATTCATACATTAACTCAGGAACAGTTTATCCAGTCTTCCATTTTACAGTGCTATCTTTGTGCTCTGCTTCTTCTTGTCCTGCTATAAATGGAATTTATTTAACTATGAACTAAACTAAAAGCTGTAGGCGGAACTGTTAAAAAATGTACTGTATTTGCTTATTATCACACACATGTCAGTGGGACAGTGACTGCTAGTCATTTAAACATCCCCTCATATTGCTAGTCTTTTTCATCCTCTAGACGCAGGGTGGAGGTCAGAGCATGCAATACATTTATTTTCTATAAATGCCTCCCTATTCAAAAACATTACCATGGTGCAGAGTGAATGTCCTCCCGGTGGGAAGAAAAAAGTACCCCCATTGCTTTACAAATCATTGAAGAAGAGGTTCTCCACTGGAAGGAAAATATTGGAAATACCAATAAGAAGATAATGTGGAGAAACAGTAAGACGTAGAAGGCTACTACACCGTTTCCACGGCAACGGGTAACTGCAAATGCCCTTGACTCTGTGAAGTACCAGAGTCACAAACCTGTGAAAATGTTTTCTACTACCATAACGCAAAAGGTTACTGCTTTGACATCTGGTTTGATAGATAGGCATCCTTACCAATTATAAGGTGTCTTTATATTGCCCAATGTGGCCGCTGAAGATAAAATTAAGACCACACTGATTTACAGTGTACAGAAAAGTTTGTTCACTCAATGGGGGAAAAAAAAACGTATTTCTGTACAAATATTAGCAGCCTACGTAAGACATGATTACTAGAGCTGCAAGACCTATGAATGATCTTTTACGATTAAAAAAAACATTTACTGAAGGCATAATTTTGCCAATATTCATTTTTTCATGGTCACACTTTTATATTATGCTAAATGTAATCTGTTATTCAACAGAGCATTCTGAGGGTGTGGCTACTTCTTAAACTATCAAGGACTATTATCACATGAAAAAAGCAGTTATCTTACAACTACAGAAAGGTTAGTAGCAGGTGCCTTAAGTAGTTGAGTTTCGTTAATACAGTCTAGCCCTATAAATATCCCACTGTAATGTCATGTCTTGTAACTCTCAGTTTTAACCCAGGCCCAGCTGGCAGCTGCTGTGTTGTGATAGATATGACCTCCCTCAGGATAATATTTTGGTAGTTGTTTGTTTCTGATCATCAAAAAGTAATACAGCTGGCAGTAGAAACAACCTACAGCCTAATCCCCCCTTGATGATAAGTAAAAGAAAAAGACAAAAAACCGAGGAAAAGAAATCACTCTGCCAAATGTGATTGAGATCTGAAAGCAAGTCTTTAGGCTAGTTTCAGATCCTATCCTGACAAAGGAATGGCAGATTTCAAACAAAAGGTCTCTGTAGCCAAGTTAACTCTTTGGGGACTTTTGCTACTGCTGTTTGGCTTCCATATAAACCTTCCCTTTGCTTGTTTTTGTCAAAAACTATACAGTAATTTACAGGGTGTCTGAATATGATTTTCTCGGTTTATGTACTGTTACTTCTTTTCAGAGCATCCCAGATACTGTTATCTTCAGACTCCATAATGTCACTACTCTGTCTTGAGCTCAAAGGTGAAATGTGACTCAAAAACAATCACGTTCCTTGATACAGTAGCTCTGGCATGGCTCTGTAGTGGAGATATGTAGAAAATACTCACATATAACCAGTAGCACTGATAAGGGTATTATCTTTCTTATAACTGATCTTAAATACTATCAAAATTTATCATTGCATTCTGTATCTATTAGTGATCATTGTTTTTTCTCCAAAGATAAAAGATTCATTTTAAGTATCACAAAATCAGTCATGAAATAGGAAGTCTCATACTGTAGTTTCAATGAAAACATTAACTGAGTTATGAGTTACAGTATGTAATTGAACGAATGTCTGTCTAAGATTGCATGAGAAACCCTAATAGTAATAAGGCAAAACTCTTGATAAAGAAGTAGGTTTTAAATGACCTTGTGAGCATGGGAGAGCCTTTGTGTTTTATGCATTTTAAAGGACTTTCAAATATCAAACAGCTTCATTAAAGTTTCTAAAATGTCAAGGGACGAATTACTTTCTTGCTGATGAATTCTGGAAATATTATTGTATGCCCAGTTCTTACATTCACCCTTAATCCTTTAGAGATTTAAACTAGTTTTATTGAACTTATATAAAAAAAAAACAAGATAATGACTACATTTTTGTAAATATTATTTAATTATTATTTTCAGTTCATTTAAAGTTTCTTGCTTTAATTGGAAATGCATTTGTAAAATAGGTCATCCCGATGACTTAATTCTATATATTGTGTAGGAAGTGTGACGAAACATCACTTAACTAAATTTCATACCCCCCTCAGGAAACTCATAATGCGTGTTTGCCCTAATTAAACACACAAAATAGGCACCCTCCTTCTGCAAAAAATAATAATCAATACAATCATGTAAGTAAAAAACAAAAGAGAAAACTGTTACAAAGAACATGAATGATAGACCATCACATTGGCTATTTGCTATAATGTTCCAAAATAGTAAAAGTATGCATAGAATTTACCTAGGATTGTAACTGTCATACTCATCAGTTTAAAATCACAGGATATAACTTGATTAAGCCACTTACAGTAAATAGGGGAGATGTTTGATTGTCTTTGTTACAGTACAATATGATTGACGATGTTCGTTTTATAAAGTACACTTCTGCTGTCATAGTAGCAGAAGTACAGTTACTGTAACATTTTAACTCTAGTAGCAGAGAGTTAAAGAGAACAAATATTTTCATAAACTATTTGTGTTTGTACTGTATATTTTAAGGGAAAGGATGTCTTTATCCTTGGCCACGTTTTCACAAAGTCCTGCTAGAATTTTTCTTTTAAATGTGATTTACCATAAAATAACCACACATGTTAATGGTAGAGCACTTTTGTAAAACTTGAAAATGAATATGAGTGTATTTTAGTTGGTTGGCAGGTTGTTCTTTTTTTGCAATACTTAGATAAAGCACCTATGAAACATGTTGCCTTGCATGTGTCAGTTTCATGAAAATAATTAAAATTAATAAAGTAGCAAAATTTGCTCAGCTTAAATCTATACTGTATATGTAACATGGCTGCTTTTGCATCATCAGAAGTTGTGTTGTCTCATTCTGAATTGTACACAATGACAGCAACATGGCGCTATGCATGCATTGAAACTTTTGTGTCTCTTTTGTGATGTAAATTGAAGGTTGTACATGCTTCCATGTACGTGGTAGTTTCATTGTGGTTTGAATGGGCTCATCATTGTCAATTCATTATAACCCCAAAATCTAAAAATATTCTACAATAAAATCTAAAAATAGTGTTACAGTTCCCCTTTAAGGTATTTGTTTAAGAACTAATACTGTATTTCCAGTTTGCATATACTATTTATATGCATGTTGATATATGCAGTAACTACTGTAAATTAACATTGATACAAATTATTTGTCTCCCCTAATGAAGGGAAAATAATGTCAGCCACTCCCATTAAAATGGAGTCCATGCCCTTAAAGAGCTCTTTGGAAAAGTAATTTTATTTCATTGATTAAAATCACAGCAAATACAACGAATGTGTTTAGACCTATTGGTCTTCTTCATAATAAGGACAAAGAACAATTGAGAACAAATGGCAGCCCACCTGTCTCTGGCTTAATTATTATTAAATATCTCTGGCTTTATTAAAGGAGACTTCTTGTATACAGTTCTCCTGGTATCCCATGTTAAAAAAGTAGGCACTTTTGCAGTGATGGCATCTGCGTTGTTAGAAAAATACAAATCTGGAAAATACATTTAAAGAAATTGTATTGTGGTATTGGAGCCCTGTATTGCTCTATTTAAGTTGTCTTAAACAATGGTCAGATGCCATTCAAGAGATCTGGACAGGCCCCATAATAACTGAGGATGCTTAGAATGTTTTGTGGTTGTAACAGACTTGGGGACAGTGGTCCACTACAGGAGTGGGCAAAGACAAGCTGGTGGAGGGTTTGGAGCAAGGAATGTTGGGAAGGAAAGTCTCCCTATGGAGGAGGGTGCAGACCTCCTGAACTTTCAGTGTAAATTCCAATACTCTATGTACTGTATTATCCAGTAGGCAGTATCGGACGATACTGACTTTTTCCTACTTACACATTCAGAGGTTGCCAGGCAGGCCATTGTGCTTTTGCTTTGATGACCGTCAAAACGTCATCACCCTGCAAACAACAAGAGCAAAGTTTTATCCACTGCAAACTGGTAAGTTACTTCCTGTAAATGAAGCATTTGCACAAAATCAGATATCATTACAGCATTTTGAAAGAGGAAAGAAGGCTTAAGTTCAGCAACGTCTGTGAAAGAGAGAAGTTAAAAAGGAACCAAGACAGCATTGGCAATTACAATAGTAAGAGCATTACAATAGGACTACAATAGTAATGCTTCATAAAGTATTCATAATTTTCATAACAGCTTTTGGCACTTATACCTGCGAAGTCAATGAGTTTGGAAAGGGTCCTAGAACAAGTCATATCTCAGTTCTTGTTAATGGAAAGCAATAAAAATAGTCATTCTATCTCCTGGATGACCAGAACAAAGAACAACAGCTGTGTGAAATTCAGATTTAGCCTCTCTGTAAACTTCTGTATATACTGTATATATATAAAAAAAAGTATTGTTAATATTTATAAAAGAAAAGTTTAGGGTTTTGTTCACTAATACATTAAAATGACATTTTACGTTGCTATTCAATGGATTACAGACTTTGCAAAAAAATAAAATTAATAGTACAGCTTCATTGGTAGCTGAATGTGATATACTGTACTGTTTAAACTACATGTGATCATGTTTTAGATGACATGATCTCTTGCCATTCTGCAAAAGGTTAGTCCTATTTTTCTTAGGTGAAAATTTGTTTTAGTCTTAAAATACAAATTTTACAGTCACATTAAATACTGTGACACATGACAAGATATTTGCCTAATAATTCATGGAATATTTGTTAGACTTCACAGCATGAAGTACAAGCCTCCTGTAGTTAGACTTTCAAGTAAGCTGCTTAAACATATGACAAAGCTTAAGATTCGTATTTCAAAATATTAGATCCAGAATAGAGATATGTTGGTATATATGTTTCCTGAGTCAGAGTAAGATCATTTTAACTGAATATATTAATACAGTAGCTCACTATTTATTCATAACCTTGAAACTCTCAACTGACAGTTTATATAGAAAAGACAACATACAGTAGGTTTTCATCAGAATTTCTGAATTAGAAATGTGCTAAAATATATGAAAATTAGTAGGGAAAAATAAATAATGTAACTGAACAGAATACAATATTTCTAAAAAATTCTATACAATGATCCAAGCCTATAAAAATGGTATAAATGTTGTAAATTTAATCTGCATGATTTTCAGTCGTCTGATAGTTCCACAAAGTCTCAGAAAGATTATAGAAGCCCTGGGAAATCCCCTGATTGTCACTATACTACAGTATTAAAAAAGACAGAACAGAGGCATAATGTTCAATACCATGTTACCATGGGAAAGTCAGAGTTATCCAAAGATTTAAGATAAAGATTATCAATTATCACCAACTCTAATGACAGCTATAAAAAATAAGATATCCCAGTTTTGACTGTTGGGGTCCACTATCAAGGAATTCAAGGATATAAGATTGATCTCAAATGCGTGATTAAAAAAGTGGTTTGGATGGGATGAGAATTCACAACCAGGGGCAAAAGCTAAGATTTTTTTTTTTTAACTCTGGCATTATTTGAGATTGACCTCATGAATCTGGTGTCTGTGGCAAAGTTCCATATGAACACAAACTGCAGATTTTGCTTAATGCAATTAGAATCTCCATACTTCAATCTGTTGGAAGAGTAGTGGTGTGAATTAAAGAATGCAGCTTGCATGTGCAAGTCACATAATCTAAAGGAGCTGGAGAAGTGCTGCATGGACTGCGAGGTGCATGGACCTGTTAAAAAGGTTCTGGAAGCTCATTCTCTTTTATAAATGCCAAAGAAGAATCAATGAAATACTGATTGCTGCAGATTAAATAGTTTTGGCATGCAGTATATTTTGAAAGAATTCTATTTTAGACAGATAAGTTTTTGCAATAGTCAGTATTAAGCTTCTTAAGTCCTGCAGATGTTCCAGTTTATATTTACTGTATTTATGCAACAAACATGCTTCAGCCAATTTTGTTATGTTGTATGAAGGCTATATGTTTGGTGGCATATTCATTATATAATATAACATTTTTTGGGGGGCTGATGAGCCTTCAGTGGAACATTTACCGAAGGAAAACAGAGCAACTGTCTCTGCTGGCAAGGAAAGTCAGATAAATGTGCTATTGGCACCCAAAAACCCATAAACCAGTATCGGCCAAACACAGAAAACTGTATCCTGAAAAAGTAGCAGCAAAAGCCCTGTAAAAGCATGTCTCAGCAACACTAGCTACATCTATTGCCCATCTTCCACTGCACATTGGCCGTTTCTATTTAAGGGTCTTAACATGTCTAGAAAGCTATTCTGCACATCCATTTCCTATTTAGGCTACAATGCCATTTTGTAAATCACTTGTAATTGCTGTATCCCACATGCTATCCTTTAACTTGTGGTGCCCTCCTTCCCCAGCGGTTGGTAAACAATACCCAATGCAGTTTGTAATTTCTAGATACAGTATCTGCTACGTTTTGCTGTCTATATATCAATGTTGTAACCATATTAAAACAACATATATGTGCTTAGATTGAGCTTTTTTATTTTTCATCCCAATGAAATAAAAATCCAAGTGGTAGCATTTGACTATGAAACAGTTTTTCGTGCTAAAGTTACTGACAATACTAGATTTATACAGCATGTGGCACTGCAAATTAAAGCTCACTTACAATGAACTGGCATCTGAATGAGGGCATTTGAAAACATCCCAATGCAAAATAAAGGTTCTCAATTAATATGCAATCTAGTTCACTGCCTCCCAAATACGTTTACACTAATCAAAACAATTTGTAACATATAGGAACATAGTGCATTTCTCCTTCTATTTAAAATACAATGTCCATATCAAACTAGCATAACCCATCAAAAACAGAATTGTGTGCATATGTTACCATTTTGATTTTCTTATATTTTGTATCGTATATTGTATATAAACAAATATTTACATCTGCTGCAGTCTCCTTGCCAGAAAAGAGATGGGAAACAATTTGTATTTCATGAGCCAAAACAGGGAAAGAATTTTAAGCATATTCCAGTTTAGTAATTCTTAACACTTTAGCTACCCAACTCAAAATTTGGCATCTCCCCTTACAGCATACCCCCAATAACTAACATGAACCTTTGGCATGTATAGGTTATCAACTGGTGGAAGAATGATGCTTCCTTCTTTACTCCTGAATATCCAGTCAAAATGCGAACCAGACTAAATGGATTCATCACCAGCACAGCGTGATCATCACACCTCAATAATAATAGTTAAGGCCTGGCAAATATGGATTTAGAATGAACTTAAAAGAAATTGAATGATAAAGTACTCCAAATGTACTTCATACAAGGACTAATGACAAAATTTTGATTAGAGAAACATATCTGTTTTTTAATTTTTGAATAGTGAGCCCCTGGAAGTCAACACTTTTAGCAGAAAATAAAAGAACAAATAAATCCTTATTTAAAAAAAAAAGTTTAGTATCTTAGGGTGTGCTTGCCTTTGAGTACTATATCAATGCACTATAGATTATTATGCTTGGAGATAGAACCAGTCATTCAATATGTGCACCATTCAGGGTGACATAATAATTTTGTCTAATAACGTTTTGCTATTGTTTTTCAACAAAACCAAGATTATTTGCTACATAATACAATCCAGGTCCTTTGAACAATCCATCGGATCAGTTTACACAGCAAGTCTTTGACATTAAAGAATGGCAACCACTCTTTTTATTAAAGCCACTCCAACATGTACAATACATTATTTTTCATTAGCTACAATCTGCTGTACATGGGACATATTTACCAATTAAAAGTGGGTTTGATGTTTTTCTATATCTGAAAGTTATGGTCCTTTAAGGACATAAGTCTTACTCTTGACAAGTTCTTTGTGATTTAGTGTTTTTTCAGGGCTGTAAATGCCAACTGTAAAATAAAACACCAGGAAATCAACTTGATGGAGTATGCAACTTTAGAGACCAGAAGCAACTATAAAGCTCCTAAAGGAACTCATGTACATATTGTAGAACGAGGCAAGAATTTACATTCTCCAATATTACAGTGCATCGTGTTGAAGACACATGTCCTTTGGATATTGAACAAGCATATGTCAACTGAATGCTCAATATTTTTACTCAAAGCCAAAACGTGTAAAACGGCATACTAAAACCACAAGATATTTAAGGAAGAATGAGCTTTTTAAAAATTTGTATTCTGTATGCGTTTGCACGAAAGATCGTGTAACTAATAATTTTCACGTGTCAAGAGCTGAAGAACAGTGTTCAACTGAGAAGGAATAGGCCTATATGGAGCACTTAATGTTTCCATTTAAAAATCCATTTAAAATTTTATTTAACCAGAAACAATTAATCTTGAAAACAAGACTCTCACAGATACCTGCCCACACCTTTCAAATGCCAACGTGACCAATTCATATTTTTTGGAGAAAACTAAGCAACAGGTACAAATATTTTTTGTACAATATTGGAACGAGTTTGAAATTTTCATAATTGTCATTTATACTTCACATACTGTACACAGTGAATAAAAATATTAAATCTTCCCCCACATTCTATTTTCAGAAATAATATAAACTCATAATTTTCATAAATGTTTCACTTCAACTTGAACATTCTATATAGCAGTAGGCTTCTTGTTGATTCATTTTGCACCAGTTTAAAATTAACAGATTTACCATAAAGTCCTTAGGAAATACCTAGAACAGTGGCTGCTTGTACCTGTACAGTATTAGTTAAGGATCAAAAAATATTTTTTGATGCATAATATTTTCTGACTGTGAAGAGCATGATCTAATTTAAATGGAAAGAAATCAAGACTGATCTTGCCAACAATATCCTTGAGGAGACACTCAATGACTGTTTCCTCTATCAGTCCTTTCCATGTGATGAAAAAAATCACCAGTGCAGATGAAGAGGTGAAGGGCACCAGTTTTTCTGCCTACTTCTCTTTAATCACTGAAACAGGTTGACATTTCTTGTTTTGATCC